TTCCTCCCTTTCCTCCCCCCTTCCTCCCCATTGTTTCCTATTTACTTTAGTATTTTGTATCTTATGTTATCTTATAACTCAATAAAAATGTTAAACTAGAGACTTGCAGTTTTATTATATCTGAAAGAGAAGGCTGTATCAGACAGTACTGCTTATTCTTACTTGGTACAAGGCAGTTTTCTAGGTGTTCGAATCCAGGCCTTCTGTTCAGGATGCTGTACTTTCCTGCTCTTTATACTGTATTTTGACTATAGGTGAAAGTGGATAAATGGGATTATGCAAAATGCACCATGCAAAATAAAAATGATAACCCAAAATAGTAATAAATAATGCACATTGTCTGCATTCTCTCTACCTTTGCGAAATACAACAGCTATAAAGTTGTTAACAGCAAAAGCAGTAACAACAGTGAAATTTGCTGACAAATATTTTTTACATTCTTTTTTTAACTGGCAGTCAATAAATTTACAGCAGTTGGCAATCTGTATTTGACAAAGTTGTTAAGGATACAGGGGCCAGAGCTGCTATGATTTGCAAGTCTAATAGTTACTCTGGATATAATGCTCAAATGACTTTTTCCTAAACTTTTGGTTTGTCCCATTAAATTAATTTTCCTCTTGATTCACAAGATGACACTGCAACTCTCAATGGAATATTTGGGAACAAATGTAGATTGCAAGGAGCATGTATTATTTATAAGGTACTGGGGATGCAGATATTTAAACAGAATGAAATAAATGATTATTCAGTGTTCAGAAACAATGAGTCCCCAATCAAGTCTAAGGAAGAAAAAATATAAATGAATAAATGAAAACAAAATTACAGGAGTCTTTATACTGTCTTTAGAAGCAAAACTGCACAAGGGTCTGATTTTATTAAGCTATGGGAACTGGGAGTTCAGTTCCTTATTTGTTTCCTTATTAGAATTACAATACTTTACATTATAGTGTTATACCAATAGTGGGAGCACTAAACTAATTGGAGCTGATTTTGGAAAAACTAAGCAAACATGGTATTTAGTACTTGAAGAGAGAGCCCCAGGAATTCTTGAGACTGTAGATTAGATTAGGAAACTGGAAAAAAATCTGAAAGTAATTGCAAACCATTTCCATACCATTGCCCCCAAAACAATATGGACATGTTTGTGACATATTCCACTGGGTAGATCAGATCAGAAAATCAACTCCATAGGAAGGCTAAAACTGTATTTATTGAGACTAACTACAATAATTATAACAACAGAATCCGGCAACATTCTGCTGTACTTCCCCTCTTTCTTCTACTCTTTTGCCTGAGTTGCTTTCAAGCAATGCCATTTTGCTTTGGACTTAAGATTGCTTGCTTAGGCAAATTCTTACATATTTCCATTAAGATCATCTTCCTTGCTAGTACAGGATCAAACACAGAACTCACTCAAATCTTATAGTCTCACAATTGCTTGACAATGCCAGTTTCTTTTGCCACTCCTAACCAGGCTACAATTGCACTGGCTTCCATGTTTAGCCTGCTTATGTTAAGGACTGTCATTCTGTCCCGGGACGGCTAATGGAGCAGGCAGGATGTTGTGCATGAACTGCTGAAGATCTCTCATTGTGATAGAAGACCAAGGCAAAGGCAGTGGACAGCCACACAGGGCATTCTCCCATGCCCTGCCTAGCATCAATTGCTCCATTCATTGTAAAACCACATCCATTATAGCCATTTAAAGCCTTTTGGTTCTTATCCAAGGATAAAAGCAACCTGCAGGGACCAGCCTTCCTAGGAATCCTCCATTTGAAAATGAGACGGTAAGTTTCAGCAACTTGCAAGGACAGCTGAAAACCCCAACTCTCTCTATGACTGTTTCTTCCCTCATTGTTCTCCACTTTGAGGTCAGTTCATTGGCTCTTCACCTGCATTTCTACTGCACCATGACTTCATCCATTTCAGTCTGTCCCTGCAATGAAAACAATAAAACTACTTTGCATTTTGAATTAAGTCATTAAATGGAAGAAAGACACATTTTTAAAAAGGGGTGACTCCCAGCTTAACTCTTCTTAGCAGGTGAGAGGATGATGGTTTTCAGTACTGTTTTCTGACTGTCCTGTGTGACCCATTTGTGATTAAGTCTTGTTTGGGGGGGGGGGGAGACCAGAGCTTCTCATTTTCATGCTTCTACACCTTTCCTTTCTTTAACTCTGCTCCATTTGCCGTTAAGTGCTTCTACTCTGTTGCTTTCAAGTCATTTAAACTGCTTTCTCACATTCTCAAATTCTCAACAGAGCTTTCATTGCCACAAAATACATATATAAATGCATAAAACAGGTCTTCAGCTTTGTCACAAAAGCTAGCAATGGTTCAGGAGTCTGGTGGGTTAGTTCATTTCTGCACATGTGATTTGTAGCATCTTCTACAGCCATTCAACTAACAATGTACCAACCCAACAACAATGTGGATAGATTTTATCTTCATTCACAAATGTTGGAGTGATGCTACCAAGATGTTACACATCTCCTCCAGTCAGTGATGGAAAGACACCCCGAGAAACCTCCATACCTAATAAAATAGCAACACTTAAGGTCATTCATGCAAACAAATGAAAGATTTGACACCTCAAAGCACAGAGGAGTGGGTATTGCAGAGTTTTGCATTTGCGTTTTTTTGGGAAGACATTTGAAAACGTCTTTTAAAAAGACATAAAACCTTGCTGGAGTAATAAGGCAGTTAACACAACAGCAGCGTCTTGCACCTTCGCAGGGAAATTTAGCAGAGACGGCAGCGAACCGCCTGTGGAAAAGCTACCTCCAAGGCACAAAAGATCGAAAGCAGGAGAGCGCAACTCCAGGACTTCTTTCTTTCCTTCTTCCCCGGCAAAACAATGACATCATTGTTTGGCGTGCCAGAATAATTGGCGGGGAATAACAACGGCTTAAAGTTTGGGTACTAAGAAAGCTGCCATATTCGGTCATTTTTAGAGGGAGTTTAAAAGCCTTATTCCATCCTCCGGTGGGCATTTGCATTACTTCACCGACTTCGCAGCACTGCAAGCCCACTTTGCTGCGCGTCTTCCTCCCCATTCTGCAGAGGAGAAGCACAGACTCCCCGTCGCCATGAACGTCAACCTCGACCGACCGACCCCTTTATGTAACGTTGCATATGAGCGGGGGGGAAAAACCCCATCGTTATTAAGCATCACGGGTTTAAAATATACCAGCGGTCGCCGGGAGGTGGCGCCGTCGAGCCGCTTCGAGCTAGCGGTTTATTCCCTCCCTCCAGGCTCGCACGTGGCCCGCCGCCTCCCGAGGTGAAAAGCGGCAGCCGCCTCGCACTCGTTCCACTCGCCTTTTGCAAAGTGAGCCCATGCTGTCCGCGCTGCGGGTGCGGGGCTACCGTAGACCCAAATGCACGCTCTGGGCAGTTCGGGGCAGCGTCGGTTTCAGCAACAGCTCCCGACGCCGCTGAAACGAGCCGTCGGTCACGGGCTGCAGGGGCGAGGCAAGGCGCCCTGCAGAGGAACAAGTGGAAACGGTAGGAGGCTTTCCTCCCGTGGCGGAGGATGGCTGCTAGGGATGAGCCCAGTTGAGAAAAGGCGTGTGTGAGGGATGCCCCGTTATTCCTGAGCTGCTACTGCTGAAGAGAGGGAAGGTTTGGTGCGAGGTTTTGTTTTTTTTATCTGGTTCTGGAGGTGGGGCGCCGGGGGATGCCTGCACCATCCCAACTACGCACTTCTCTGCATCTGCTCTTGGATCCACCCGCCCCGTTTATCCCGGAGGTTTGGTGAGGGCACTTTATCACCCCTCTGCTCCGCCCCGCCCCACCCGTTGCTCTCAGTGTGGTGCTGTGCTCGCCCTGGGTGCGTCATCCAGACAGTTGTACTTGTACTTTACTCTCTTCTCGCCTTCTTTCCGGGCTCTTGCAAGCCAGATCGTCCCGGCTGCCCTGCCTTCTCCAAGGGAGAAGGGTGCACCTTGTTATCCGGGGAAGATACAACTACAGCGCCCAATGGAACCTGTTTTGGGACGGGCGCTTCTGCTGCCGGTTCTTCGTGGGGCAAGGAAGCCACCGTTCTCATTGTATATGGCTGGACTCCTGTGAGCCCCCTCCCCCTTTCCAGGATCTTCTGCAGGCTGACTCGGATGCCGCCTTTTATAAGTTCCGATGTCACTGTCTATCCTTTGCCCCAGTCCCTTGAGTGTAGGTGTGGCTGCCGCCGTCTCTCCGCTCCTCTGAAGGAAGACCCCCTTGCCCGAAGGTGCCTCTGTGAAACTACAGAATTCCAAGTTGACTTTCGGTTGAACTAAGGCTGAAGAACTACTGGATCTCTCCTCCCCTCCCCGCCTTGTCTGCTCCCTGGGAAAAGATGTCCAGAGGCCAGGAGAGAAAGTGAGTGAAGGGTTTCATTGACCTCAGAATGCCCCACTTTACCTTGCCCTGCTCTCCTTTCTTCTGAACAAGAGCTAGCAGAAGAAACTTTTGGAGAAGGAAGAGCTGGCTTTTCTCTTTACACAAAAACTCTTATTCCTGGATTCTGAAAGCTGTTTGAATCCCCTGGCGACTCAGTTGCCTACCTGGCACAGAGGAGCAATTGCATTCGTCGAGGAAAGGGGTTATTTAAGGACCCTCAGGGATTGAGGGACAGGTCCTGCTTAAAGAAGAGGCTTCAAGGGGACCCTTGCCTCATTTCACCTGCGGATGTGCTCAGAGCAAGCTTGAGGATTTTTCCCTGAGGGAATTTGGAAGCTTCATCTTTTTGCTGTGACATCAGGAAGAAACTTTGTCCACCAAAATGTCCAAAGTGGTGGCTTCCAGTGGAGCTGGAACCTCGGCAGCATCAGAGAGTTGTGGGGCAGGGCTGCCCGAAGACCTCTCTAAGGTGTCTGATGAGGACCTTCTGAAATGGAGCAAAGAAGATCTCATTCGTAGCCTTCGTAAAGCTGAGTCAGAGAAAGTGAGTGCCATGCTGGATCACAGCAATCTCATCCGGGAGGTCAACCGCCGCCTGCAGCTCCACCTGGGCGAGATCCGGGGGCTTAAGGTAAAAGGATGCTTGCAGGAGAGGAAAATGGGAAGTATGGGGGTGGGGAAAGCAAAGGCAGGATGAGAAGATCTGGTCCTTGCAAATCACTATGCAGCTGTGTAGCCCCTTGTAGAAAATCCAGGAGAATATGGACTGCTATAATCAAAAATGGTAGGGATGGGCAAACTAGGTAGAGATTTTATTGTGAAAGATTGTTTGTACTTTTGTTCTGGTCCTCAAAACAAATCCCTAGATTTATGTTTGTTTTTCTCCACCTGACATTCTCCCAGGTCACTGGGACTAAAGCATCCAGAATTCCAGCCAGCATACTAGAAGTAATAGCCATATTACTAGGTTAGTAAAAATTGCTGAATGCCCTTTGTAACTTCTGAATGTTGGATCTTGGGATTCTAATAAAAAGCAAATGAGCCCCAAAAGCTGCCTACTCCTACACAAAGACAGACCACAAGTTGGTGGTTATTATGCAGGAGAACTCCCCTGTTACTTTAGCCTCACACAGCATGCCTTCTTCCACTCTCTCACCCTTAATTATATGTGAAAATATAACCTTAGATAACCCACCATTGTTATTATGCCCTTGCCATAAAATATTTCTTTGTACTCAGACTCAGATAGGACACATAATAGTAGAAGGTTTCTTGTGTGTTTGCAAGGTACATTTTAGTTCAGTGTTTCTCAATCTCAGCAGCACTTTTAAGATGCATAGATTTCAACTCTCAGAACTTCCCAGCCAGCCTGCTAATAATACATTTTAATTATTACATGAGTTGAGTATACATGCAGATATTTCATTGCTTGTAAGGAGTAGAGTGGTTCTTTCTTGAAAACCTATACCTAGTTTTATTAATTTGGTTTACTGTAATTGTATACTGCCAGATTAAAAAGATGCTTCCTGCAGGCTTACATTTTAAAAACCTGATAAACCTAAAATCAAGATAAAAGACAAATTTCTTTTATATGTGTATGTGTTATACAGTGAAATGCACATCATTGTGATTGTTACGTACTACACTGAAAAGCTTCTGTTGATGTAAAGTACTAGTTTCAATTTGTAGCTTATCCTGTCCAAAAATATTTGGATAGCATAGGACCAGGGCAGAGTGAAATAGTTTGCTGACTTGCTGACAATTGGTTATATTATGCCTCCCAGGATACTGTCTTCCGAAGCAGCCTACAAATAGCAGAAAGATATTCTTGGTTGTTTTAATTAAGGTATTCAAATAATGAAGTGTCCTTCCAACTGGAAAGTTGATGTCAAAGGCCCATGGGAAGGATAGAAGGCAGCTCTTTAATAATACACTCCCTGACTGCTGTCTTGTCTCTTGAGTCTTTTATACAGTGATTGCTGTTAGGTAGTCCTGCATCTGAAAAGGCCAGTCCAGTAGGAGGAGGCATTTGACCTGATCATAACTACCCCATCAACAGACCTCAGCAATGCATATCTAACTGGATTTTGTTTTAGACCATTTCTGCAGTACTGCTTTATAAAAGCTTCTAACACCTTGCAGCCATTGTAAAAGCAATATTAATCCCTTCCTCATTATCTTCCTGAGTGTCAGGTTAGATAAACCATGCTATAAAAGACTAACCTAGAAATAACTTTAAACAGCTCCCTAAAAGTCTGTAATGGAGATAGTACTCTTTAAGTACCTTTAGCCGATCTTGGCTGGTTTGAAAAAGTTAAGCAGGATTGGAGATGATTAGTATTTGGAAGGGAGATCACAGGGAAATCTCAAATCTACAGATTAGGCTGTGAAGTTGAAGAAGAAGCAGCGAGAGTTTTCTGAAACTGATGTGGAAATAAAATCTAAGCTTGACTCAAGGGAGTGTTTTGATTTTAGTCTGCGGTGGGTAAGCACCAAAGCTGGTTTTAAATTATCTTAGGAAAGGTAAGCTAGGCATGGTCTTGTTAATTCTTAGTTGGGAGAATACCAATACATTCCATGGGGATAGCCTTGACTGGGGAGTCAAAACAACATCCCAGAAGGTTCCTGTAGCAAAAGGATATGTCTGGGAAGTCATCAGGAATTGAAATTTGTTTCAGGGAGTTTTTTTTTCTCTGTGTGTATCTACATTATTTTTCATGGTTAAAATTAAATTTGTAAACTGTGCAGGGATGAGATCTATCTTCCCTCCTCTTTTGCAAATGGACTTATTGATTCCTTAAAGTCCAAGAGAGCTGTGTTAATTAGTAAGCAAAACTTGTGAAATGGGAGGTACTAAAATATATAAAGTTTTTTTTTCCAAGGCAGCATGGCAATCTTTTCTATAAGAATTGGCCATGTGGTAAGTGGTTTGACTTTGCCTCCTCCAGGGAAGGAGAAGCACTTGGGAGCATTCTTAGTACAGTCAGTTGAAGAGGTGCTTTAATGCAGTAAGTGACCTACACTTGAAAATAAACTTCCTAGAAAATGTGAAGCTACCTATCTAATGGGTAGCAATTTCACAGGACTCAAACAGAGAAATGCCTTTCTATCTTCTAGAAAAATGTGCTCAGTTGAACACAGAAAGTGTGGCTTATTAAGTAGCTTTTCAACCTTGTGTGATAAACTAGGTAAGATTCACAGCCAGATGATCTACAACGGGTGTCAAATTTGATTTCATTGAGGGCTGCATCAGGGTTGTGCTTGACCTTGGGGTTGTGGTGGGTGTGGCCAGGGTGGACATGGCCAACACGACAATGGGGGTGCCTGTGGTGGTCTGAGTGCTCTCCCGAGCTCTGTTTCCGGCTGCAATGGCTTCCTGCAACAGCTCAGGAGGGCCACAACGTGTAGTTCTCCTGAGTTCCGTTTTTGCTGGCAGAAGCACCGCAGGCTGGTCCCTTGCTGTTTCCAGGGTGGTCTTTTGGCCCAGATCTAAGCATCCCGTGAGCCCCAAGCCTTGAGTTTGACACTCCTGATTGATTATAATTTTTATAGAATTAGTTACATTAGTTACATTAGATGATCTAATTCTAATGTAACTTGTAACATTGACAGAATCCTGCAAACTTGTAAGTACAATTATTTACCCATCTTCTTTATAGACCAAGAAACTAAGGAGACTCTCTTCTGAGCCTCTGGTGCTACTCACTCTTCAGTTACAGGCTATGCTGTCTCTTATCTGACACTTCCCTGGCAGCACATTTTTGCCCAGTCTCCCAAGGTCATTCCACATACTATTATATCATTTCCCCCTTCAGATCATCCTCTCCTCCTGAGTCCCCAGGGACACAGATTGTTCATTGCTGTGAAAACAGAATGTAGCTGTGTGGCTCCTCTGATCTGCTGATATCTCTCCAAGACCTCAAGAGACATCCCCTAATCAGGTGCACCCCTCCATTAGGAATTTGTTGGCCTTTCCCTCTCATGTCTGCATTTATATACAGTATCTCCTCCTCATTTCCTATTGCACCCTCCACTCTATACAAGAATCCTTTCTCTTCATTTTGCGCACTGCCATACTCTGCAAATCTGGTAGTTGGCATGCATGGATTTATTAGGGTATTGGTTGTGAAAACAGTGTGCCAGTTACAGCTCATGCACGTCTCTTGCTGCCTCCATGACATTTCTGATTCTGAGTAGCTTTTTCAGTGCATCAAATATTCAACCCATTTTCCTCTGTCTACAGTCTAGCACTGCTTTCACCTCTTACTTTTCCTCCATGTATAGCAGAGTCCAGGAAGATGCCTCTATCACCAGCAAAGATTGATGGAATATAGCAGTGATGGCGAACCTTTTTGTAAACACGTGCCAAAAGTGTGTGCACGTGCATAATAGTGCCCCCATGTGCCCCATACATGCAATGCGCCCCATCCACCTGCACAAGCATGTACGACTCCCCACATATGTGCACATGATTCCCCGTGCATGTGCGCATGACTCCCAGATGTTCAGAAATCAACTTCTGATTGGCCCGTTGGCCCCGTTTTTCACCCTCTCCAGGCTCTGGAGGTTTTCCTGAGCCTGGGGAGGGTGATAACGGCCTCTCCCAGCCCTCTGGAGGCCCTCCAGAAGCCAGAAATGGATCGTTTCTGAACTTCCAGTTGGTCCGTTGGGCCTGTTTTTCGCCCTTCTCGGACTCCGGAGGCTTTCCTGAAACCCGGGGAGGGCGAAAATAGCCTCCCCTGGCCCTCCGGAAGGCCAAAAATCAGCTGGCCAGTGCGCATGCGCGCTGAAGCTGATGGCTTTCATGCTGGCAGATATAGCTCCATGTGTCACCTGTGGCATGCGTGTCATAGTTTTGCCATCATGGGAATATAGGATGAAGTCTTCATCGATGCTGGCAGTTGCAACTGAAATGCTACTCGGTTTATTTGCTTAATCACTGGGACAAGGCCAATAAATTGTTTGTCTAGTTTCTTGGAAGATCCCTAAATTCTTTTGGTCTGAATGGACTTTGGTTCGTGTGGGCTGCTCCTTCCAGTAAGTGTCTCCATTATTGAACAATAATATTTTTTATTGCCAGAAACTTCTTATGGAAAATAATATAGTTTATGTTGGGAGGAGAATTTTGGAGTAAAATGCACACTAAAATAAATCTCTCTCCTCGCCCCTTCTTTCTCCATCTGGATCAGAATTGCTCCTATGGCCACATCTGAAGCATCTGTCTTCATCACAAAGGGTCAGGGTGACTGAAGACTGAGAAGCAATTTTTTTTTAATTCTTGAAATGCTGCCTGCTCTTGGGTTGACCAGAAGAATTGCTGATCTTTTAAGAGCTGGGACAGTGGCTTTACTTGGTCAGCAAAATTTGGGATGAATTTTCTGAAGTAGTTCAGCAAAGTTCAGGAAGCATTGTACATCTTTCATATTAGTGTGTGTGTGCCTGTGTGTGTGTGTGTGTGTATGCATCATGATAACAGACTAACTTTGCTAGATGTTCTGTATGCTTTCTGTGGAAATTCTGTTGTCTAGATAGTTTGATTGAGGCAGATCAAATGCACACTTCTCTAGTTTGACAAAAACTTACCTCATATTTTTTATGGTATGGTTCTGATACATGTGACATGCGAGGAAA